CAAATGAACCATAAGTAAAAGCTAACGGACAGTGTTAGCATCTCACAAATGAACTATAGCTAACCATCAAGTTTGTAACTAAAACTTTTTTATAAATGCCTTACTAAAAACCTTTGGCTAAAATGGAATTGCTAACTAATATTGTTGGGAACTTACATTACGCTAACATTAACAAACTGTTATTTTTTGAAATGCTATGCTAACAATTAGCTGAAATTTCAAAACATTTGGCAGGAAAGCTAATGCTTCTATACATCATAATTTCAACTTTTCATGTGAAACAAGTTTCAAATAATGAGCCAAATGTGTGAGAACATAATCTGTGTTATTCCTTAGACTACTCTGTTTCAGGTCTGTATATATTCTTACTTATTATAAACACATCCTTTAAGTATGATGCATACTTGAGGGACCTTGGTAGACTTCCTGAAGCTGGCCAATTAAAAAACAGAGAAAGTTTTTTAGCACACGAGCCTTAAACAGACAACTTATTGCAGATAGATGATGACCTGAGGGCCAGCGGCTGCTCTAGTGGAACATAAAAGCAGAGCTGGAGCTGAGCCGATGAAGCTGTTTCTAACGATAACGAGCACTGACGGCAGCAACGCGATTAGGAAGCCCGACACGTCCGCCTCTCTTCCATAAACAAAGCTAAAGGGGAAGCGTGCCTGCGCCGCCGCTGCCTGCAGACCGATGCAGCTGCACAAACATTTCCCTCATAGTGCAACAGGAGCCCGTGAAGGAAAACACCAACAAAATCCAGAATGTCGCAGTGCTGCTCCACACGTTTCTTTTCAGGGGATCGTTTCAGGAGGGTGGACACAATAGTGCAAACACCTGTACCACCTGATATAAAGCAGGCCTGCAGATGCTCTCGCTGGTATTAGATTTGAGTTACAGCTGTTCACATTATTCTGCCCAATCCTGTGTGTAGGCCCCGCCCACAGAGGAGTTTAGGATGAAGGTTATAACCTCTACCTCGCTGTTACATCCAGCTGATTTGTGTTTTATCTCGCCCAGGCTCGCTGCAGCGGCCAAGTTTGATCCGTGACTGAGCCTGTACGCTAACACGGACACGGCTGCTGTTTGGGGCTAAAACCACTAACACTGTTTTACAGCTCGGCCATTTCCACTCATGCTTCTGTCACACAAATTATACGATATTGTGTCAGGAAAATCTCCTCCTCAGGTAATAACGTGAAAGGAAAATATTGCAGATCTGAGGTTTTTTACTAAGAGGAAGTCGGGCTGCTGCAACCTTTAGTTTTCTCATCAAGGCTAAAAAGCTGTTTGTTTCAGAGTCACGACCTCCTTTCTGGTAGAAAGCGGAAACGATCTGCGTCTCTGCTGAGCTGAAACGGTCCACCCAGAAAAGAAACCTCCACCCTCGTGCAGCAGAGACAAACCCACTGTGGATCGTGTCAGAGTGCGGCCTCGCTGCACTTTTAAGGCAAGGATGGATCGTTTTTCTGACACATCAGCGACTCGGAGGACGCGATGTGCAGAAAAGCCACGCATCGCCTCTTAAGAGTGCAGGGGCCGGCCGGTGAGGATGTCTGTAGAAACAAAAAGCCATGGCAACAGAGCGGGGAGCCGATTACCCAGCAGCCAGAGGGGAACGCCACGACCAGGACGCCACGTTAACTACGGCATCATGTCAGGGACCAAACTCCAACATGTGCACTTATTTAATGTTCATTAGGTAAACTCGAGCAATATTAGAGCACCTGTCTGCTGGCCTTCATCTGCTTGTTCCTTTCACTTCATCGTCTAGTTCGAGCTGATTATACTGATAATATCACATAATGGATCTGACAGCTTCTTTTTATTTGCTTTAACTTAGCCGACTAATAATGACAAATGCTAATTTAAATAAATGAATGAAACGAGCAGCAAAGACAGGAGAACGTATCCTCGGCTTTTTCTTTCCAACATTCAGCAACTCTGATTTATTCATTTATCAGATTTTCATTAATATAATCATTGAAATGTTAAATTCATGTCAAGTTGACCTGTTGACCTCTGACCTCTGTGCTATGACAGTGAATAGCTTCATCTTTTCTATTGTGTGCAATAAAACCTGCAATCACCTGACCTCTTCCCGATGAGTTCCTGCTCTTTTACATTCATTCTGTGCGTTAAAAGGGCGTCCGCATACTTTTGAAGTACGAAGATAAACGTGTGATCTGGCTGACTGAGTAATCAGCTGAATAAACCCCGCCCCTGGCTCCACGTTGCCATGGGCGAGGCCTCTATTGGCCACTTGCAAAGGGCAAAGCATCAAGCAGGTAACAGGAAGCAAGGGCGGCATCTTACCAGTGTTTGATAGGACACACGTCACGGTTACCGCAGCAACATTAGCAGTTTATTACCCCCCCAAACCTGAATCATTAAGCCCGCCCCTCCCACCCCTGTTTAGCAGCATGTTATTGTTACTGTGAGAATGGGCAGACGGGCGGGCGGGCGGACGACACACACTATAGAAATGAAACAAACAAAAAGATGTTAGACACATTTAAAGCCACACAGTTACAATGAGCCCGGAGAGGAGGGAGCAGTTAAGAACCTTTAAACACGCCTCCACGCCCGCCATGTTTAAACGTTCAACCGGCACTCCGAAGAAACCAGAGAGAGAAAAAACACACCAGGACACTGAGAAGCTAACAGACTGATGAAGAGTAGCTTCCTTCATCTGAGACCTACTGGAAACAGTGCCAGACACAGAGAGAGCTGTGCTTCCATCCAACCGTTTTAACATCGGATCGAATGATGACGCTGAGAGCTCGCTGACTCCCGACCTGCCTGCACCGCTCTGTGGACAGACACTTTTACACTAGAAGACGTCAGAGGACACAAGCCTCACTGCCTCTAACGCTCCCCGTGCAGAGACTAACGGGACGCTGTCAAAGCTCCCCGAGCCTCTTCTGTCCCCGAACATCGAGTCTCAGGCAGTGCCTGTCGTTCTGGCTGCTGTCTGAGGAGATGTTTCCTCTGAACTCAAACCCAGCCGAGCTCTTAAAGCTACGTAGAACCTCTCTGTTTGGTTTCATCTTTCAGCAGCCCAACACCCTCACAACCGCTGCCCAACATCAGAGCAGCCGTCGACCTCGGGACAGCCTTTATGGACGATGAAGAGGACCGGGATGCTGCTGATGTTGATGATGATATGTTGATTATGGAAGCGTCAATCGATTCGACGCTTGGACCTGGAGAAGGACACGTCCCTTAGAGTGTCCTGTGGGAACAGCGCTTCAGGACTATGGGGTGTTTGGTTTTTAGTCCCTTGCTGCGGTTGTATGTCAGACTCATTCCTGGTGGATGACCCAGGGCTGACCTTTGTCACCGCTTCAGTTCATAATTTTTATGGACAGAATTTCGAGACGTTGTTTCTCGTATGTATTATTGTCGGGTCTACCGCTGTATGAATAAAATTTACTTGAATTTAAAATTGAATTGGGTAACCAAGTGGCTGAAAGATTTTACTTTGGTGGTCTCAGAATCTCGTCTCTGCTCTTTACAGATGATGTGGTTCTGTTGGGTCATCAGGTGGTGGCCTCACAGCCGAGTGTGAGACTGTGGGAATGAGAATCATTGCCTCCAAGTCTGAGGCCATTGTCCTCAGCTGGAAAAGGGTGGAGCAAGAGGCGAGTTACTGCCCCAAGCACCTCGGGTCTTGTTCATGAGTTGGCTGTAAAAGCAAAACTGTCGATTGTCGAATGAGCTCAAATGGCAGGCCTCCCCCTTAGAGACAGGGTGAGGAGGGGGGCTCCGAGTAGAGCCAATGTTCCTCCACATCGAAAGGAGGCAGCTGAGGTAGTTCGGGTATCTAACAAGGATGCCTCCGTTCACATGGGCATTACCCACGGGGAGGAGGCCACCGGAGAGACTCCGTCTCTGGGCTGGCCCAAGAACACCTCGCCCCCCCAGACAAGCAGAAGAAAATGGATGGAAGGATCTACTTGTTAACTGATGATGTGATCTGATCCTATATGATGGTGTAGTGAACTTTTATTGAGAAGTTGGACCGTGTTTAACTGTCAGAGGTCTGATTTTTCGGGAGCTGAAGCAGCATTTGGTATTTGGTTAAATATGTCCGACTGATGATGACAGGAACAAAGACAGAGCAGTTTGATCTATTTCCTCTCTGCAGGTGACAGGTGACTGCTTTCTTGTGAATTTTCCTTCTGTTCGAGCTTTGCTGTCAGTTGGATGGAAGAAGAGCTGCAGACAGAGAGAGAGGAAGAAAGGAGGAAGAGGAGGTGAGAGACGGACGTACCGTCTGGAGCTTCGCTCAGAGCTTTGCCGGTCATCTCCCGCTCTCCAACCAGCCAGACGTAACCGGAGCCGGTCATGTTGAGCTGCCGGGCGGCTTTGTACACGAGCGCAGCTTCGTCTTCACTGCAAACACACAAACACACAGCAGGTAAGCACTCACCTGTGGCTGCCACAAACAGACCAAAGAACCAGTCACCAATCACCTGGCAACACCGTGGAAACCAACCTATCAAACACTCCTGTGGACGCACAGTCTGACTTCTTCTGTTCGAGCTCCAAACGTCTCTTTAAAGACCTGATGAAGGTCTGATGATGTCACTTCAGTGCAGTCAGAAACACTGCAGCTCAGTTCATCGACTAACCACCACTTTCACAGCATTCCCGAGGACATAATAAGAGCTCCAGGGTCTCCGTGGTGGGTTCTTCCCAAGACAAAGAGGAAACGTAAACAAAGGAGGCAAAAGCGTGGCTGTAGGGCGAGCGGCTAAAGAAACAGCCATTTAAGCTACCGCCTCCGAGTATTTTCCTCTCCAACGTCAGGTCCATAACCAACAAAATCAACGAACTGAGATTACAGATTGTAGTCAACAAGTGTGGGACAGCAGCATAATATTACTCACAGAGACTTGACTGCAGCCATCAATTCCAGACTCGGCTATTGAGCTAGCAGGCCGCACGGTCCACCGTCACGACAGGAACGGCCACTCCGGTAAAAACAAAGGAGGGGGTTATGCATCTACACCAATGACAGCTGGTGCAAAAACACTGCAGACAGCCATTGTTCCCCGGATTTGGAATATTTGACTGTGAAGTGCAGACCCGTCTACATACCTCGCGAGTTTACTGTTGTCATGGTAACGGCCGTGTACGTACCACCCGATGCTAATGCTAACTCGGCCATGGAGGAGCTGCACAAGACAATAAGCAACCAGCAGAACTCCCATCCAAACGCAGTGCACATCATAGCTGGGGACGTCAACCACGCTGGTTTAAGGTGAGTGTGGCGGGGCGTGGCCTGCGGTGCCGCGCAGAGGAGGCGGGCGCACCTGTATGGCATCCGCAATCACGCCCCGCCGAATTAAATATCGTACTGGGTCCTGTGGTTGGGGTTGTTGTTATGTTGAGCTGGCAGCAGGTGAGCTGCAGCTCTGAGTGCGAATGTGCAGCAACCGTGAGAGTGAATAAAGTATGCTGCAAAGCATGAATTTGCACCCGGGTCT